ACTTGTCAGGTGTTTTTTAAATTCCCATTTTATAGATGGGGAAATTAAAGTTCAGACAGATAATTTAGCAAAGGTGATTCACTGAAGAAAATGGTGGGAAAGAAATCAGTGCCGTGCACTCTGACTTCAAAGTTATTACTCTTCCTGCTCCAAGTAACTGCATGTCTCAAGCACTAGGAAGGCTTGAGGAAGCAGTGAAACTTGGTCACTGTCTCGGCTAACAGAATTAGAAATGACGATGAGCCACACATACAGGTGACAGTGTGGGCTGACCGGTGCCGTACAGAATCGGGGATGTCAGCATCAGCTCTCCTTGTGAACTGTCATTTGAAGTGGGCGCCGAAAGGACTTTGAGAGGTAGATGCAGCTGCCCAGGTAGGCTCGAGACAGATGTGGGACCACCAATAATTCCAGCCTTTGCTCATAGGACTGTAGTAGACCTGGTAGACCTGGACAGACAGTAGTGAGAAATCAGTAGTGGAAAAATGATGCTGTGACTGGAGAGATGGCAGCTTTGACACCTAGTAGGGGATTGTGACAGAGGGCAGATGAGAGATGCGAAGACCTGAAGTAGGGATGTGACTGGGAAGTGGGAAGGGTCAACACCTCCACGTTAGAGAGACATTTGGGGTTACAGCCGGCAAAATCTCCACGGCAGCCTTACTGAATAAATCTTAAGTGTAGGTTTAAGGGGAGATGAGAAAACAGGAAGTGGATAAGACTTTAGGATATTCAGCCAGGGCATTAAGTGAGCATCTGCTTTACATTTTACTTATCAGACTCCACTTTAACTGTTAGGTCTTAATTTTTCAGTTTTTTAAATCGGTGTTGTAATGTTGATTCAGAAAGTTAGGGTAACTGGGAAAATACTTGGTGTGGTTAGTTTTTCTAAGGGTTATTCCTTTTTCAGGAGAGTTATTTAAACCCAACAGTTTTCTGGTATACTAGGGAAGCTGTTGTCTAATCCTAGTGACTACGTCTGTTTTTCCTTTTGCTGTCCTATCTTTGGGGAGTGAAATATGTAGACTCATTCTTCAGTTGCTCACACATTCTTCTGCCTATTCCTCATCTCAGGCAAATCATACTTAAAGGGTGTAAAACATTTATTTTCTTTCATCTGAATTTATAGATGAGGTATCTTATTGGTCTCTTATTATTGTTATTGTTATTATTATTTGCAGTTTTGGGGTCAAACCAGGGCCTTGCCTGTAATAGCCAAGTGTTCTTCCACTGATCTAACCCCTATTTCTCTTTCAAACCATTGTGTTTTATGTAGTGGATAATTTCTTGAAAAGAAAGAGCAACTCTGTGAATGTTGCATTAAGGTTCCAGACCTGACTGTTTATGTGATTTCTCCCAGTTGCCATTAAGCATAATCAGTTTCTAAATAAAAGGTAGGCTCCAGCCAGTCATTTGCAGGGGGCACTGCTGCTAATAGAAGGAATTTGCTTCCTGGCAACAACACAGTATGTAGCTGTCAGCATTGTGCTGAATAATCTGCTGTGCCTTGCATGTTATTTTTGTAGCTTTTGTTTGAGCATTTTTAGGAAAAGAAGTGATGCTCTGCTGATATGTTTTCCCTCTTTAATGTGAGTCTGATTTTGCACATAAATATCTGCTTTTTCTCTTGAATTCTCCCCATCCTTAGAAATATAAAGACTTTTCTGGTTGGTTAATACAGAATTTTCTCTTATAGTTCTTAGAAAGTTTTTAACACTCCTTGCTCATTCTTTATCTACTAGTAACATGTAATGTACAAGACTCTAAACTACTTTATACAAAAGAAAAAAATTCTACAACTATCATTTATTACACAGACTATATCAGGAAAAAGAACCAAGATGCCTGGCACGTGCTAGACTGAAAAGTTTACTTGTAGCATCTCCAGTTTTTCTGATGAGGAAAGTTCAGCTCAGTAGCTGAAGTCACATCTACGTGATTTCACAGCTAGCACCAGATGCAGGATGCAGTGCAGGTATACGTTACTCCAAATTTGATCTTGTTCTGTGTTAGAGTATTCTATTAACACTAGTGAGTGCAGCAAAAATTCAAAGAAGCAACTTGATGTGGATTGGCATACCCAGGAATCATCATGGAATATTATCATAAATATATGAAACAAGGGATAGATAAGAGAGGATTAAATCCTGGAGACAGGTAGTACTAAAATAATCATAATAATAATTCCCATCTTTATAGACACCATTTAAATATATTAACTTATTTAGTTCTCACAACTACTCTTTGAGATGGGGACAATCATTTTCCTTTCATAGATGAGAAAAGTACGAGGAAACAGATTAGGGGCCTTGCTGAGATTACACATTAAGTGGTGCAATCCAGATGAAAACTCAGGCAGTCTCATTCCAGAGCCTGTAATACGGAGACCTGAACAGAAAGGAGAGGGATTTTCCAGGGATAAATAGGTGTAAAAAAGGGAAAAGGTAAAATTCTATATAGAGGCAGGGGTGAGGGCTATAGATTGAGGATATCGTACTGGATGACAGCTTGATGCCTGAAGCCTTGGAATATGGTCAAATGAGAGATAACTGAGGTACAGGGATCAGAAGTGAACAGCCTTAAGTGATGCTCATGGTTTCTAGGCTAGGAAGAGGAGGAGAGAAGTACTAGTAACAGATGGAGAAGAGGAGAATAAGGCTGGACAGATTACTGACAAGGTCTCTGTCAGCATGTCAGAGATTTCATGAGTGTGGACATCTTCAAACTGTGCTGTTTTCTTTGTGGTTTTTCTGCTTTAACACTTCCTGTTATGTTTTTAGCACTTTTATGTTTTGGTTTTTTAATAAATCTAGATGAAAAGAAGTCATTATATTAACATTAATACAGATGTTCTCTAGTAACTATAGTTCTGAAAAGAAAACACCAATCTTCTAAATTGTATGGCAGGAAGGCTGCGGATTTTGAATCTTGTTTATGGCTATACAGAGATCTTTTTGGACAGATGTTACAGCATTGTAACATGGAAGACGTTGTAGAATTAGAAGAGATGTGATGAGACATTTTCGATAGCTTATTATCTCCAGTTTATAATCTTTCAGTAGAACCTAGTTACTCACCCACCTGCTCCTTGAGGCTGGCCCTCAGGATACTCTAAATTTTCCCTTCAGCCTGTCCAGGTTTGTGTTCTGCTATATAGCTCACCTGTGTGACCTGTGAGGAGGTGTCCGCCCTGTGCCTTCTAATGTTTCCGTCGTTCCTGTCTCTGTGCTGTCTCCCAGTTCTCCTGCTTAAATTGAGTCCTTCAGAGCCCTTTTCTCCCCTGACTGCTTCATTGGCTTCTCCTTGCCTTGCTATCTTTTGTACATTTGCCAGTCCTGGGTATTTTACCCTTTCTTCCCCTTGAGATGCTGAAGATAAAAACCATGGCCTTAATCACGCTAGGATACAACTTTACCACTGCGCTACGTCCCAAGCCCTCTCCTCCTTTCAAAAAGCTTTTATTTTGAGAGAGAATCTTACTGAGGTGCCCAGGCTGGTCTGGAATTTATAGTCCTCTTGCTTCACCCTCCTGAGTAGCTGAATTCAGAGACATGACCTACCACGCCAGCTGTAATTGAGGGATCTTAACTGCTAGTATTGCACTGATTTTTAACCTACCTTGGGAACTGATACTTTTTTGAGTCCGTTAGAGTAACTGAAGAAATTGCATTCAGACATGAATTGTTTTTTGACAGTATCAAAGGATTCTTTATTTTTTTTGTACTTGCTTGGGCATTTTACACAGCACAGAACTGCTCCTTCCATATTTAAATATAGTGGGATGATGAGTGGATTTATTCCTGTTACCCTGGAATTTCAGATAAGTCTTAAAGTGGAAGGCAAAGAGCACTGAATACCCCATATTGTAGGATATTTACCAGCAGAGCTAGGGGAGGAGGTGCTTTTCTACCTCCAAAATGATGTCTCCTGCCATGAACTCCCTCTTGACTCCCAATCTAGGGAGCTGGCTAAGTGGACGTCCAGCTGGGGAATGCGTGCCTGGTTCCTCTTCCTCGGGATACCTGCAGTGTCTTTCATTCCCTGGTTTGTGAGGAGGAAATCAGCTCACCCCAAATATTGTATCCTTTGTCAAGGTTAGCCTGCATCGTGGGCTTTATTCCTGGGCCTTTTCATACATCGATTAGAGGTAGGGAAGGAGAGCAGTCTGTGACAGGTAGATTTTTTTGTTTGTTTGTTCTTGTGGTACCGGGAATCAAACTCATAACCTTGTGCTTGCCAGGCAGGGGCTGTGCTGCTGAGCTGTATCTCCAGCACTGTGACATGTAGATTAACTCTGGTATTTCTTAGCAAGTTATGGGGAGAAGGTGGGCCATACCAATGTGTTAGATGCTGTTTGTACACTAGGTTTGTTGTCTTCATCCGTGTATTAGAATTGTCTAAGGAACTGGTGCCCAAGTTTCACCCTAAGCCAGTTTAAATTTTCTTTGTGTTACACTTTGGCATCAGTAGTTTTGAGAGCTCCCACAGACGATTTCAACAAAGCAGTCCAGATTGAGAGTTGTTTCTGCACTGCAGGGAGAGGGAATGAAAGGATGGCACTCTAGGGGTCATTTCTTCCCCAAGTTTGGGTCTAAGCCAAAATTATTTGAAAACAGAAAATATCCCACTCAGTGTCTTGTTAAATGAACAAATAAAAATAAAATTAAGGTGGTAGTTTAACCTGTTTTATTACCATATTTAAGTGAATACTCAATATTAGATTTTTTTCTCTGAGCAGTAAAATACATAGTAAGCTGAAAAGATTAGTATTAATTGACATCTTAAAAGCTATATTTCACTACTGTATAGTAAATGAGCGTTATCTCAACAGGATAATAAATCAGTATCACTGAGACACCCCAAACCTATCTCGTTGTAGCACATTTACTTGGTGAGCCTTTCCTAACGATGTCTTAAGAATTAAGCTACTTTCATTAGGAATGAGTGTTGTTCTCAAAGCCACCATTTCATTTGTTTTCTCATCTCAATGGTTTTCTAACAGCTCAAGAGATGGCTGCACAATGTGTCACGAAGGTGGAGCTGAATGTTTCCTGTACCAATCTTTTGGATTTTGATGTAACGTCAAAGTCAGACCCTCTGTGTGTGCTGTTTTTGAACACAAGTGGTCAGCAGTGGTATGAGGTAATGTTATATACTTTAGGTGAAAAGCTGACTTGCTCTTTTGACAAAGTAAGCATTCTTTTAAAATGTTAAAAATAATAACATTGTCTCTTTTATTAATGTAATTTTTTTGGATAAATTTTTCCTTGGCTGTGGAATTCTTCATACAGATACAGAAACTTCCTTTAGTTTTCATGCCATAATTAATTATATTTAGTACATAGTGTTAAAGTGCAAGGCATCTTTGATCTGAAGAAACTTTTTTTAATTTGTTTTTGGGGATGGACGTAGGTTGAACGCACTGAAAGGATTAAGAACTGTTTGAATCCCCAATTTTCCAAGACATTCATTATTGATTACTACTTTGAAGTGGTTCAGAAATTGAAATTTGGGATTTATGACATTGACAACAAGACTATTGAGCTGAGCGATGATGACTTCCTAGGAGAATGTGAATGTACCCTTGGACAAGTGAGTATAAGTAACCATTATATTCTATTTTGTCTGAAGTTAGACCACAGAACCAGTGTTTTTTGATGTGTTCATTAGTTTAATTTTTAAAGTCGTAAAGCATTAATCACTTAAAAGACTGAGTTTATGTATTAGTACAGGTAGCTTGAACATTATAAAATTTATGTTGTTTCTCGAAGGACAAGGATCATGTGTTTCTGGCAAAGGTTTCTCATTCCTTTGAGTCAGGGGTGCGTCATTTGGCATCTCAGTGCCTCTGTTCTAATAGAGTTCAGTATAATTTTATTATGTTTTAAGTCATCAGTCCTATTGAAGTAATAGTAACATCTCTGATGCTCTAACTACCACAACTTGTTTTCCAGTGCCTAACAGCACCCTGTTACCTGTCTTGCTCTTCCTTTGCCTTAGTTGTGTCGCTTTAAAACTCACTTTCCCCATAAACCTTCTCTGACCCCCAGGCTAGTTTAGAGCCATTTGTTTGAGCTCACTTTGGCACTGTCTACTGATTCTCCCTGTACTTTATTGTAGTTGCCATACTTTCTGTCTTCTCAGTGAATGATGAGTATGGTCAGGAGAAGAGTATGTCTGGTGGCTCATGTTTTGCTCCTTTGCTGAAATTTTGCACTTAGCTTATCAGGAGAAATCATGATCACTTGTAAATTGAGAAAGGCCTCACAAAGGAGAAGTCACCTTTTTTCAACAAGTGACATTTATCATTTGAATTTGCTTTTTATGAGTTTATTTTTTGTTTGGAAGGAATGGTGTTTTCTGTGTCTCAAGGAACAATATGGAATTGATTAGTTCTGTAAAACTTTCACAACTAGTATTAAAGAGAAAATTGAAGTTTTTGGAAAAACATCACAGTGCAGCTAAAATTCTAATGACTTTGAGAGATACCAGTTTAGAAGCTATCTTTATAATGTTCATCATATACTTGAAAGATATATTCTATTACTTTGAAAAACGTGGTATTTTGTGGAAGTAAAATGTCAAAGTTATGTGTCATTTGAAAAATTGAATCTCATTTACTGGGTCTTCTGGTGCTCACCATTTACCTTAGAGGGGTTGTGGCTCTGATGCTGTGTAGGAGAATCTGGCCCTCTTTTTCCATTACAAGAGAGAAGTCAAACTTTGAAGTACAGAATTAGTAAGGAAACCAGTGGATAAGGAGATTGTACCTTCAAGAGTAGGAGTTTTGGAAGTATTTTCCAGTTTTAAATGTGTAGATGCATTTTCAATGTTTTATGTTATTTAAATCTTTAAGAAATGGACTCAATGGTTCTATTTCTAATGACTTTAAATGAACTTTATATTCATCTTTTTGGGAAACTATTCATTTTGCAAACTTATATGTTGAACTGAAATGTGTTACTTTCCAATTTTAACAGATTGTTTCCAGTAAGAAGCTAACTCGACCACTGGTACTTAAAAATGGCAAACCTGCTGGGAAAGGGAGCATTACGGTAAAAATATTTGTCTTTTGCCTCAAAAGATTGAGCGTAACTGGACGTGCTGAAATTGTACATATCAGTCAGATACTTTATACCACACTTTATCATTTGATCTTGAATGTTGCCTGCATCCACCTTTGCCTTATAGTGGTTACAAATGGAAAATATATTGTGCCAAAAAAGGGGAGAAAAATGTAGTATGGGAATCTTATTTCAGTTTTTTAAGTTACCCATGGAGGCCCAGTGCACATAAGTAATACTTGCCTCTCTTCAAAAAATTGTCTCTTCCCAAGTTAGAGAGGACCTGCTAACTAATCTGAATGGGTCATTTTGGCTGTCTACAAAGGAAACAGTTCTCTCGCCATACAGAAACTTTCCATAGTGGGTTTTATTCCAAGTGGATATTACATTATAACATGACCATTAAATCTGTGGTCTTCACCATAGTTTTCCATTCTTGTGTTCTGCTATCAATTCTCCTACCCGGATTTTCCACTGCTGACAACTGGCCCTGGGCAAATGAACATGCACTTTACCATATTTTAGATTTCTAATTGCATACTGACACAGTTTAAACACATTATCTTAAAAGTTTCTGTCCAGGTAGCTACTTCTTAGAGCAATTCTCACTGTAGCTACCTCTGCAAATGGAATCATGACTTCTTGAATGAGAGCCATATTGAAAGGTTATCATAGTTATCAAAAACATTTATCTGAGCAGCTATTTGGTTCTAGGTTAGATTCCTAAAGTCATGAGAATGTTTTACTAGAGGGAGAGTTGACTTTTAGGGGATAGAGAATATTATCAGTAGTTAGCTTAATTGCTTTGGAACATAATTACCTCTGATTTGTGTTGAAGCACAATAATTCAGCTGCATTGAATGAAAAACACTGATCTGATGTTTCAGTTTGTAGAGTTCACCAGGTATGATTTACTTAAACTTCTCAGGGTATGGAGAGCTTACCTAGTTTTCTTCAGAGGGCATTCTTTAGTATCCCAGGGCTTTGAGTTTCCCAGGCAATAGGAAAGATCCAGTTTGGGCAGCAATATTTAAGAAGGAAATTGCATATTGCACATTTGCTATTTTAGGGGAAAATATTCACGCAAAAGAGGTAATGATAAATCTTTCCCTTTTTCGGCTATTTAAAAATTTTAATCTTTTTTTTGTTTTGTTTTGTTTTGTTTTGTTTTTTGTTTTTTTCCCCGGTACTGGGAATCAAACTCACGACCTTGTGCTTTCCAGGCAGGCGCTGTGTTGCTGAGCTAAATCCCCAGCCCTTTAATCTTTTATTTGGCAAAAATCATCATACACAGTGAAAAAGACAAAATGAAAAAATATTTCTAATTTACATTGTAGAAAAATAATATTTATAAAGGATTATTAATGTCAATAAGAGTATTATAAAAAAAGGCTATGAAGAGAAAATTTTGAGAATATAAATAGCCAAAAAAATCTAGGAAAAGATATTCTAGCTTATTAACAACCTAGGAATGTACAATTTCTTTTCTTTTTTTCAATTTCTCGCCTACTAGATCAGCAAAGCTGCTCATGGTCACAAAAACTAGTGCTGATGGGGGAAGGTTAAGTAGGTTGAGCACAAGCATCTGAGAGAGTGATTTACTACCAAATATCAAAGGCTACTAAAAGGATGAGTGTGTGTGCACACAAATGGCTCCGCAGTTACAGCATAGGCATTTGTCTTGCAGAAATGCTAGCCAAGTGTGAAAAATACATACACAGGGATACTCACTAAAGTACATGCACAGTAAATTATCAGAAATATTAGCAGTTAGAGAGAATAGAATAATTGCATTCAAACTGAAAAATCATGCAGTCACTGGATTGAGGCAGAATTCAATATATTCAGTATATTCACACAGAAAAAGGAAACGTATTAAATGTAAAAGAAACTATGATGCATATTATAGAACATTGTTATGGCATGATGTCTTTCTGTTTTGTTTTTTTTTTTCTGGTACTGGGAATCGAACTCAGGACCTTGCACTTACCAGGCAGGTGCTGCGCTGCTGAGCTAAATCCCCAGCCCCTTTCTTCTGTTTTTTTAATTTGCTATCACCGTATAATATGTGTGTATATGCATGTGCAAGCACACTCACACACAATCACTGTCCCATCTCTCTCCCTTCTTCTTCCTTCTTTCCCTCCTCTTACACACACTTAAGTAATTGGTTGTTTATTTATTTATTTTTTTTTTTGGTTTTGGTTTTTCTCCGGTACCGGGAACTGAACTCACGACCTTGCGCTTGCCAGACAGGCGCTTTGCCGCTGAGCTAAATCCCCAGCCCCAGTAATTGGTTGTTTAAATACATACTACAGAAAAAGATCCCCTGAACTCTGGGTGTTTTCTTTTGGGGAATAGGATTGGGGGAGGGGAGGAGAAGGGAGGGAGGAAATTTCACATTACACTGCATTTACCTCTGATTGATTGACTATTACTGGCAAATGTTTCTTTTTCTTTTTTTTTTTAAGTTTTTCTTCAGTAATTAAAATATTTATGATAAAAAAGCAGAAATTAAAGGTGATGAAAATTTTAAAAATTAGAGTGTTTTACCTAAACAACAGCACATCATTTTTATCTCTGTGGCTTATATAAAATTTTGGACATTGTAAATACTTGTTGAACTCATTCGGCTTTGTGTAGAATGTTTTCACACCCAAACGAAATACTATTCTAGCAAAAACTTCCATAATGCAGTACTTTACAGCACCCCACATTGCTTACTTCAGGAAGAATTTCTTTTCTTCTCTTTTTTCTTTTCTCCTCCCTCCCTCCCTCCTCCCTTCCCTCCTTTTCATTAATACGTGTTTGCAGTACATAATTCCGTATGTGGAGGTGGTGAATGCACCCTGAGCCCATGTTACATGAGATCAGTCAGACACACGTGCTTATCTATCACATGGTTCCTCTCATGTGAGAAACGCAAATTGTGAAGAAGGAGTAAAAGAAAAAATAATGGAAAGTGGAGAAATTGGTCTTTCTCAAGCAGGAGAGGGATCAGGTGATTACTCTTTTTTTTTTTTTTTTTGGTTTTTCTCCGGTACCAGGAACCGAACTCACGACCTTGTGCTTGCCAGGCAGGCGCTTTTGCCGC